CACACACACACACACACACACACACACACACACACACACACACACACACACACACGCGAGCGTGCGCGCTCGCTCGCTCGCTCGCTCGTTCACATGCGTTTGCAACCTCCTCCTCCACTACTACTCATGAGATGACTGACACCCGTTTGCTTCACCTTGTTGGAGTGAAAAGCCGCGGTTAAAGTCATGCTCTTACCCAACCGCTTCCTGTTCACATCTATCTGCGGCCAGGTTACACCTTGTAAAGTTTAGGACACAGAGAAGATTAGGATGGCGCATGTGCACAAGGATGGCATGCAAAAAATTAAACAGCCTAAAATATGACAAAACAGATTAAATGTGTACACTACCGAGAACCACCCTGGCCGGCGAAGCACGATTGTCCCTTGCTTGTGGCCGCCTGGTAATTTAGGGGCCGTCCAAATCGCACATCAGAAAAGAGAGGCTCAGAAGCACCAGTGGTTTAAACCACCAGTAATCCACCAGTACTTCCGAGCCTCCTTTCACTGAGGTGGATTGGTGCAGCGCGCCAAAACAAAAAAGAACCAGGGCGGTGCAATTTTTTTTTCATTTCGGCTGGCGCTGCCAGCCAAACAGATCCACTAGCCTGCACCCCTAAGAAGCGGTGTGCGTAATACACTGCGTATGGACGCATCAGAAAGAAAACAGCTGGGAAACGTACCCGGGGTTTAAGAGAAATAAGAGGGAAAAAGTACACCGCTTTCCACAGAAAAAAAGCGCATTTCGTTTATGGCCACACATACACTTCCAAAAGCTACGGCCAGATTCAGTCGTCGTCTTGTGGGGGGGAATGACAATCTTACGAAACTGCACCACCCCGTTTTCCTAGTAGGGACCCAAACTACCCCCATGTATCAACGAACAGTTGACAGTTCACCTGCAGGCATCATCATTATCGTCATCATCGCTATCATCGTCATCATCGCTATCATCGTCATCATCGCCATCATCGCCATCATCGCCCTCATCGTCTTTATCGTCATGGTCATCATCATCAGAGATGGTGGCCATCACAGCCAGCCATGCAACAGGCAGCAGATCAAAGAACTGTGAGAACAATAAAACATAATAAGAAAAAGAGGAAAGCAATAAATTAAAGATGGTTCGCATTCCAGGAGCAACATGACAGTTGAGGATGTAACGTTATCTTTTTTCTTTTTTCTTTTTTTTTTTCAAAACAATATTGTTATTTGGACCATGTGGTCCATTTCTCAATTTATGTGTGTCATCCTTG